ATCTACAGGGTGATTGAAAAGTAACTCCCTATTTTATGTTTGAGGGACTCTCCCGTCTGTAATACACCTTGACAAACAAGAAGGAGAAAAGGCTTACCGGAGTCTAAGCGAGACGTTTGACATGCGAGAAGGAAACTCAGACATGCGGTAGAATAAATAACAAATACTCGTGTGTGTGGCTAGCGATATCTTTATTTTCTATTTCTTTTTCTAGAAGTGTTGTAGGGTAGGACCCTTTACCTGACAAGAGTTAATCACATAAACGTTGTTTATAGAGTGAAAGGGAGCTGACTATTCAAACAATGACTGCTTAATATATATATATATATATATATATATATATATATATATATATATATACAACACCGGCTAACTGTAATTTTTACATGACAGGAATCCCATAAAATAGAAAGTTAATTTTCAAACCTTGTATATATTATCGTAGTCCCTTCACAACTCCATTCACGTGATCAAGGGCTGACATTATATATCTTCATGACCTTGACCTTTTCTTCATTGCGTCGATCTTCAATTTACTATGGTAAGTCTATTTTAAATTTATAATAAACCTAATTTCTTTTCAGTTGCTTCAGTGTCACGAACTTAGTCTAAATACTCTTTGTGAGCATTTTTATACTTTGTAGTAACTCTGAATTTATTTTCTTTAAATATTAAATAGGTATACAGGCTCAGTTAAAGGTTATACTCCCATATCATATAACCCGGCGATTTCTCGCCGAACTGGGAGGAGGAGGTTCAGGATAAGTCAACACAAGTTCTCTATTAAGTTACAGTCCTTTTTTTCGTCTGCCAACTGGACGCTAGTTGGTCTTTCTAATCCATTCTTATTTCCGGTGCTCTTGCCCTTTACTACCTCTGACTACTACTGACCCTTATCTTCCGGCATTCTTAGCCTTTATTATTTCCGGTTACCTCGGCTCCTTACTTTCGGCAATCCTGATCAAAACTACCCGGACATTGACGCAACATTGACTAATATATGTCCGCCGCTTCATCGTGGATTTCTTCAACGGACAACCAGACTTCTTTTTTTTTTAAGCATTTCACCCCAAGCAAGGCGGGAAGCCACTAGGACGCAAGGTGTTACAGAAAATTTAGAGCAAGATCAGATAGGAGTGATAGAAGAAAGGATGAGGGTAGTGGATAGATCAAGGCAACTGGAGATGTCGATTGACATTACACTTGAATAGCTGGAGATTATAGCTCACAGGGAAACAGGAGAAGGGAAGGGAGTTCCACAGGCGAGAGGTGCGAGACATGAGGCTATTAGAGTAGAAGAGACGGCTACATTTAAGAGTTTCGACAGTGAAGGGGTGAGAGCGAAATGCCAGCCTCGTAAGGCGCTGGAACTCATGACGTCTGAGAACCAGCGAATGCATCTCCTAGGAGCAATTTCCATGAAAGTATTTGTAGAACGGACAGAGGGAGGCGACGGCGCGTCTGTGAGGAAAGTGACTGTAGACGAGACGCCAGGGCAGGGCCAACCACATTGCATATCCTCCTCTGGAGCCTATCAAGAACCCCGAGGCAAACAGAAGGGCACTAGACCATATATGGCAGCAAAAGTCATCTCTATCGCAACCCAATTCACCTGGTTGATTGGCGTTAACGGACCTGCTTGCAACAGCCCTGAACATCCGGTTACACTGGGTCCCTGCTTCCCGCTTTCCTGTCAACCTAACCCACCTGGTTTAGGAAACTGCTACATTCATATCGTCCAGACTCAATCAACCTATTCAGTACACTTCGGTTAGAATACTACGGAAGGTTGACCATTGGACCTAACAAGCAACTACGCAACGTCAGCACCGACCATCTAAATTGAACTTTCTTCTCCTTGGCTATATCGTCCAGACTGCAACCAACCTATTCCGTACATTTTGGGTAAACACTACGGAAGGTCCCAGCACAGTTACATTAAAATGGAACTCTTTTCTCTTTGGCTGTATCGTCCAAATAAATTACTCCGCACACTTCGGTTAAAATACTATGGAAGGCTAATCATTGAATTCAACCAGCAACTTTTCAGCACTTTCGCCGGACATGTGAACTGAATTTTCGAACTGTGGACTTACATGCCAACATAACTTACATAGACTCTACTTTTAAAATTTAGTCACAGTTATATGATCTAGATCTTCTAGCCGCGGTCAGTATTCCTCAATTTACCTAATTCTGCCTCCATTACTTGATTCATCGTGTGTTCATGTTCCTTTAATCCAAACACGTATTTTTGTATGTGACGTAAATAAATTTCCTATTAAATTTTAGTTTGCTGTCCTCTTGTTGGCCTGTCAGATTTCACGTCTTTTATTTTTAAAATTGTTAGTGGGCCTCTTGTAACTCATACTTATTTGGGGCGCACAGGCCATTTTATATCGCGTCCCTTCCACTGGGATCCGCTACAATATTTAAATAGTTTACTGGGTTTTGTAGGGGATGATTTATTTTTCCCTCTGCAGCATTTTTTCCCGCAGAC